TACAAGGTAATACAAAGTAATACTTCATGGTATAACAGGTATTACGAGGTAATACAAGTAAACAGAGGGTTACAAGAATTCAAATAATATAAGTATTACGAAGTAATATAGAGTATTACAAGTAATACAGGGTAATACAGGGAATACAAGGTATTACAAGAAATACATGATATTACAAGGAATATATGGTACTACAGAGTAATATAAGGTATTACAGGGAAAAAATTCTTGTAATACAATGTAATACAAGGTAATACAAGGTAATACAAAGTAATACATGGAATACATGGTAATATCAGGTAATACAAGCCTCGGGGTCAGAGGAATACACCAGTTGTTCACCCCTCGGTCCGCAATAGGGTGTTCCAGGCTATCTAAAACGGAAGTGAAAAAGAACAAACTCACTGATTTATCTGTTTCCGTCCGCCCAGTATGAGAAACTATCATGGCAGTTTGGTCCGATCCTAACCTCTCAAATATGGAGGGGAGCTCGAAACTGATCTGACAGTTTCTCATACCTGAAAGGCCTCGGAGGCACGTGATAAGCTCGACCAATCAGAGCCATAACGGAAACAGAAAGGTCAGTGAGTTTGTTCTTTCCCTACTTCCGTTTTAGATTGCCTGGAACACCCTATTAGGTTCGAGCGCGTACTCTGGCCGCCCGGAAAACTGGGAAGACCGGGAAGACCACCAGGAAGACTAAATAAAACCGAAGAAGACCAATAAAGTCGTGGGCCACAAATGTGACGGAAAACCGAAAAATATAAGGGAAGACCAGAAAAACTTTAGGGAAGACCTAGAAATTGCAAGTAAGACCAGAAAACGTACGGGAAGACCGATGAAAATTCGAGAAAACCGCAGAAAACTGGAGGAAGCCTTTAGAAAATATCATAAAACCAAGATATTGGGAAAACCAATGAAAAGTTGGGAAGACCGGGAGAACCTTAGGAAAACCTAGGAAAACTAGGAAGCCCGCCACATGTGTACACCGGCAGACCGTACTTGCGGACCCCTCGGTGTGTGCCAGGCGCGTCGCAGCGTAGCTGTGTTTCGTGAGATTTCGCGAAGCCTGTTACGCGAGACGTGGTCTGGCGTATATATAGCTAGTTTTAGTTAAGGTTCTTTGGAATTAAGTTTTGGAATTCCTCAGGTGTGAAACCCGGACTTTGTCATAGATAGGGGACTCATCTATTTAGAGAGGCATATAGTTAAACAAGGTAGATGTACGCCAGACCACGTCTCGCGTAACAGGCTTCGCGATATCTCACGAAACACTGTTACGCTGCGACGCGCCTGTCATACATTTGCCTTGGCCTGCGGCGCTGACACCCGAGTCGGGTAGTGGAAAAATGTAGACAAAGGTACGGGCCTACGGCCCATTAACGGCCTATCACCTCGACTAAGCATGCATGCTTGCACATTTTTTCGCCTATTTTCGTCAAAAATACCCTCTAGCGCCTCAACGGTTTGAGAAATTTTCGCCCGAAGGGCTCTACTAAACATTCGCAAAAGAGTAGAGCATGTACTGGAAGATGATTCAGTTCCATGCTGTAAACAGAACAATATAACTAGCTATATGTACGCTAGACCTCGTCTCGCGTAACAGGCTTCGCGATATCTCACAAAACACTGTTACGCTGCGACGCGCCTGGCGCACATATAGCTGGCCTGCGGCGCTGCCACCCGAGACAAGTTAATAGGAGTGTATGTACAATTTCTCGATTTTAATTCCTTTCTTAGATAGATAGATAGACCATTTGGCCATTTTCACCTCATTTTCGCCAAGAAATGCCCCCTAGCACCCCAACGTTACAAGATAGAGCAAAAGGGACGAAATTTTTGTGCAGAGGGACCTACTTTGACGAGTTACCCCTTAGGAACCCATAAAAAAATATTTGGAAAAAAATAATTTTTCGGCTTGTGGTTTTTGATTTTTTTTAAAGTCAATTTTTGTGCTAGAATGCTCATCTTCGAACTCGATCTGTCTTTTTATGAAACAAAACGACCCTGAAATTCCCAGATCGCTATCTCAATTCCTTCTCGAGTTATCGTGCGGACCGACCGACAGACAAACAAACAAACACACACACAAACACACAAACAGAATGAAACTTTTCGGGTCAGTGGAGTAATGGGCTTCGCCAATTGCTCAGCCAATAAAAGTTGACCAGAGATATTAAGACTTATTTACCATGCTACCCAAAACTATATTCAAAATTAAACTGTAAGCTACTTCAAGCATTTAAAACAGTGCGATCTGATTTTGAATAGACCATTCCGTTAAACCGAAAAGAAAGAAGAGACGGAAGAAGCAAAGCGTTCTATGAGAAATGTACGGTGCGCCTTGGGAACGCTCGAAAGTAATCCACCGTAAACTAGATATTCTGCGTCGCCTGAGAGTGAGAACTATTGTCATTAACTCTCAGACGAATTTAGACATCAGACAAGTCACGTTTAACCGTTTGATACGACTGTGGAACCGACGCACCACCGTATATTTCTCATACTCGCCTTTGCTTCTTTCGTCTGTTCTTTTTTCCGCTTTACCGGAATGGTCTATTGGTCTCTCTGACCAGACGCACAAGTCACGACCAACCTGAAAGCAGGCAAGGCTGCTTCTGAAGGCTTTGCATAGATTTTTTTTAAATTAGCACATGCGATTAGTACTTGT